ACATACGCCTTTTTATAAATAAACGGCTCAAAATTGATTTCCAGGGGCTTAGACCCTTGTGAACTTAACTCACATTAGTGCCTTTGACTTCAATAGATGTAGAAGTCATTTGCCACCTCATCTGACTGAAATTTGGGAGCACTACAGAATAATATTCAAAAACAAACAAACAACCTCTGAAAGTAGCTGTGTAATTAATTCAGAAAGCCTCCCTTCTTTTTTTCTCAAATGATGCTCATAAATCTCCCTGAATTTTATTTCAGAATTATATTTATTTTATTTAAATGCAATGTGAATATCATTTTACTATTTTTTTCTTCAGGTGGCAGTGGTAATGGGGAGAGAGGGAAGTGAAATTTGGATCAACTAAATTCATGCATTTTAATACTCCAGAAGTTGTATTTGTTCAAACGAAGCCTAAGCCCTAAGATACTATCCTAAGATTCCTTTTAGTTAATAGTAGATAAGGGGAAATTTTAACATCTTAGATGTAGATATGTAGGGACCTGTTGGATTTTCTTTTCTGATGTCTGATAAACAGCAACTAAGTTTTGCTTTGCATTTCAAAAACAAATGCAAACCTCTAAGTAACTCTGAGGAAAAATCATTATTATTTCTTGTTATTGGATTGATTTTTTTCCTAGTTTCCATTTTCCGTGACAATACAAATACAGTCTAACTTCACTAAGAACACAACCAAGGTTGTACAAAAAGGCTCACATAGGTTTTGATGAGGTTGGTTAAAGTTTCTGGTCTGTACCAAAAGCCTACAGCCAGAAGTGTTGTTTCAGTTTCATTACAAACATTCCACCAATTTCTCTAATTTATAGCTTTGACTTGCAAATGTGAAAGAGTCCCATGAAAAACTAAGTTCTGTCTTTCAGTTTCATAGGGATAAAATTATTTCCGTTATTAATGGAACGGACTATTTTTTTAGATTCACCAGATGAAAAAAAATCAGCTTGAACCAAAACGAAAATTTTTCATTTTCCTGTGGGGGAGGAGGGAAGGAAGAAATGCTGGAAACTTGAATTTGGGTCAAGCAAACACCTTTTTGGCCAAAAATAAAATGTTGCATTTCAATTTAAATGTTGACCCTTTTCAATTACTGAACTTTAGCATTTTAAAATAGATATATATAATTTTTTAAATAAAAAATCAAAATGTTTTGTTTTGAAAATGTCAAAATGAAATATTTTGGAATTTTTCTAAATTTTGTTCCTTTATAATTAAAATTATGGTCTGCATGCAGTCTGAATTCCTGAGTAATTTTGGTCTCCCAAAAAAATCATCTTTAGGGAAACAAAATAGTTACAGAAAAAGTCACCTAACTCTACCCATAAACACATGACTCTAGCCATAAATTACTGTAACTGCAGCTCATGTACATACACCTAAATCAGCTTTAAATTAGCAAGCTGCTAGACATGGCAGCATACGATTCAGTGTGGGCTGCAAACCTACCCAACAAGCTGGGAGAATACTTGGGCAATTAGCCTACACTGAATTGGTGTTACCCTGGCTACATTTCTACTGGTACCAAAACTGGATAATTTAAAACTGGCTTTCATACGTGTGTGAGCTGCAGTCATAGCAATAATCACAACACAGATGACCCTAACTCTTTATTATTTAAAAGTACCATTTCCTACAATAAATAAAACACCCAGCTAAACGTACTTCCATACATATATTTGGGTAGGTTAAGAACTAAGTAACTGTCCCAAAATTATAATAGTGTCATTCTAAATTACATCCCATGCCTTCACAAGATGGCTTCAATGGTCAGTCCCACTCACCATTGTAGTTTCTGCTATTGAACCAAAGCTGTTGATAAATATGTTGCAGGTAACATTTACAGGAGGACCTGCAAGTTGAACAATAAATAGAAAAATTGACAGGTTGCGTTCATGATATACATCAAGTATTGTTGTTTTCTTGCCAGTGGCATCATTGCACTTACCATTGTGGTTTCTGTGACTGATCCAAAACTGTTGATAAAAATATTGCAAGTAACGTTTACTGGAGGACCTGTGGAATGCAATAAAAATGTTGCAATATATATTGAAGCAGAAGTACAGATCCATCAGCATCTGTACAATCTGGTACAGATGTAGCTGAAACTAAGTAGAAAGTGAGATTATATGATTAAAGTCATGCTCATATCCATCAAAGGAACACTGTTGCCACAATACTTTTTACTGAACTGTCCTTCCATTTTAGGGACTTATTGAAATGAGCATTAGATAAACAATGCTAGATATAAAATTTTCTTTTTGTCCACAGAAATAGAGCAGCATGGGTTGTGATACTCTAATCTTTCCAGGCTGCCCCACATCTCAGCCCACTGATGGAGTTACTGGTGGTTTAATTTTCATTCAGTCCTTGGCCCCTCTCCAGACACTTTCAGAAAGGGCAGCATTTAATGTGATGCCTGTCTACTGAAAACAGGACTCAGACAACTAATTTTTTCAAACAAGATAGATACCAAATGCCTGTCTGATCATGATATTTTTTTTTAATCATTCCTAGGTTTGACTGCACAACTTTTGTTAGACAGCTACACAATATGTAAAATATTGAATTCCTTTCATCATCTTCTGTGCTATTTAGGAGTCATAGAAATGTACATATATGAATGAAACCAAGAGGATACTTAACTTACTATCCACTACCTTTCAACTTTTCAGGTATGTTGCAACATTTAAAAAAAATTGGACTTGCAAATCAGTCAGGTTGGATTAATGTGAGATGTCTGAATTTCAGTGGTGCCAGATTTCACAAATGCATGTAATATTCATACTCTTTTCCTATTTTTTCATTGCTAATCCTGAAATATTTAAAAACTCCAGGTTTTGGATATTAGATTTAAAATTGTGCAGAATACTTATGGAAAAAATACAATACCTGGCTGTCAGTTGGGGCTTTTCTGTACTGGATCCAAAAGAAGATCACAGGAAAGTTAAATATAACTATCTCAATTTTACATGATAGGGAAAATGAGGAACAGAGAAAGTAAGTGACTTGTCCAAAGTCATATAGCAAGGTCATATAGCAGTGCTCTGCCTGCTAGGCTAGACTGTTCTGAAAAGAAACCAGTAATAACATCATTTTTTGAAAGTTTGGTGGACTCCATAGGAAATACATTTTTGTACCTAACTTTCTGAACAAAAGTTGGGAGAAGGATAGGAGATTTAAATGTTATCTTGGAAAATGTGTTTTCTCATATCACATAAAGTAATGCAAATGCAGTCTTACATTTTTTTTTTCCTTTGCTAAGGCAGAGGTGCAATTTGCAGCTTAAGGGCATTTTGTTTTCTTCCATTTTTCCAAGGCAACATTTTGTGAATCTAGGTAATATCAATGAAGCTATTCACCTTTTCTTTCCCTTTGTAGTATTACCTTGAAAGAACATTATTAGTGGAGTAAACCTGTTTTTTATGATTATTTTTATTTATTCATGAATGCTAAAAGCATGATAGAAGATTTACATACAAATAAGAACAGAAGGTGCTTGCCAGAAATTCTTATCAACTAAGACTTGACCCTGCGATTTACAACAGGTGGTTACTCAGGCCATCACCTGAGGTCAGTCTATTTGCACTGTACGCTGTAAATTAAGGATACTTAAAATAGCAAAGAATCAGTAGCGTAACTAAAGTGGGGGGAGCAACCAGGTTACCAGCTCCTGGAGGGAAGGGAGGGAGGACTTAACTAGCAGCTGCTAGGCTGCTGGCCCATCTGCTGCCACCACCAGCAGCAGCCTGGCTGCAGCTCCTGTCTAGGCACCACCACTGCCCAGCCAGCAGAACTGCCCAGTTACACCTCTGTAAAGAATAAAGGGTATAATAAAAAGCGAAGTGACTGAGCTCTAAAATTTAACGCACTTAATTCCTTTAAAAAAACAAAACAAAACAAAATATATCTGCCATTGATTTTATTAGCACTTTAAAAATCAGGGGGCTAGAGCTTCTATTATATGCTGTAAGGAAGAAACATGCTTTTAATTGTTCACAAAACTTTTTAATAAAAGAAAAAAGTCTCGTGCACTTGTATTCCCTTTTGCAGGATTCGCTGATCAAATAGTGTGTAGGAATGTTCAGGGCAAAATCTCTTAAACCGCACCTGAACATTTAGATTAAAAAATTACTAAAATCAATGGAGAAATTTCACCCAATTTTTCCATTCATGACATTGTTTAACAACTGCCCATCCCCACCTCTAAAACAAACAGGCAAAAAAAAATTAATCAAGTTCTCTGTATCTCTAAGTCATGAATATTTTTATAGTATCTCTGCCTAGTATCTCTGCCTATTATTTAGTCTTCAAGAATGCAGAACATAATGGCCTTGCACACCACCACCCTCCAACATCACTAAATTCAACTGGCCAAGCTGTTGTGGATCTGTTCAAATAAACACAGGATTTCCACAATCAGGATTTTGAATTAAGAGATTAAAAACCAAATGAGGAAGTTGTCAAAAGCCTGGTTTCTGGATTTAGCTTCAAATGGATATCTAATGTGAATCCATCCAAAAGAAGGTGTTTGCTTATCTGCCAAACAGTTTGGCTTTCACAGCATTTCTTCCACGAGCCCCTCAAAGCCCCAAGGCCTCTGCAGGAGCTGGTGAGCTCAGGGTTTTTTTCAGGTTTTTTTTCATTTAAATGGCTGGAGCTGGGGTGGGAAGGGCAGCCATGGAGGGGGGGGGCTGGGACAGTGGGGAGAGGGTAAGGGGGCTCGTGCAGAGCCCCCTATGCAGCATGGGGCAGTGGGGGGCAGTAGAGATTGCCCCCCTGCCCAGCAGCACCCTGTGATTGGGGACTTTTTTTAAAGCACCAGGAGCTGGGATGGGTGAGGCAGCCATGGGTGGGGGGCCTGGGGCCTGGCAGAGGTCCCCCCATAGCCCCCTCCTCCCTTCTTCAGCCCCCCCTGCCCCCTATTTACCGGCTTCAAGTCCTGCTCCAGCTCCCGGCTGCAGCAGGCAGGGACTGCCCAAATCAGCGAAGCTCTCCGAATCTTTTCCAAAGGTTCAGAGAGCTTCAAATCGATTCGGGCCTTTTTATTGGTCCCCTGATTCAATTCAGATTTGGAGATTTGGCCACCAAATAGGGCCGAATCTCCTCTGAATTGAATTATCATCCAAAGCTTTGCACAGCCCTAATAGCCATGGATACATATTCTTTGGTGCTCATAATTTTTGATACTGAGAACTACCTTTATTGATAGTCCCATTTCTAGATTATCTTTCCTCTTTTTTCTGGAAATCAGACAAGTTTTCAATAATCATTTCTATTTTCTCACCTTTGCCCAAGCTCTGTATTCTCTGGAATCCAGTCTGTATCTAGAGATTTTTTTTCATTCGCATTAAACTCATCTATACAGCTAAAACGTCAATAGGGTTATAACTGTATACACATTATAAAATACTTGGCAAAATATTTGGCAGTTTTCTTGAGAAGTTCATTTAGGTGAAAGTACATGTTAGAAAAGAATAATTATTAAAAAACAAAGAATGCAAAAGTCACATGCTCACACATGTGAGCACAGTGGAAGGATATAGGAGCAAGTCCGAGGCAATGAAGAAGAAACACTTATCTTTATATGCACAAAGAATTAATGTGAAAAATGTTAAGAACCAGAGGTGTGGCAAGCTCATTCAGTACCTTGGAAATGGCTGGTTAGAGTGGGAGGGAACACAACTATGTTGACACTTTAGCTGGGGAGGGTGGGGGCAGGCAGGCAAATGAGGGGAAAGGAAGTCTTACTGCTCAGGCTCTCTGAAAGCAGCTGATATTGCTGCCACTGCTACTGCTGTAGCAGCACTGGCTCTGCCAACAGCAGCCCCATGGTGTGCTTTCCATTGGAGCTATCTCTGGTGTCCCATTTGCTCCCACGCCACAATATGTTAATGATACTTAGTTGCACTGTGAAAAAAACCAACTCCCTGAGGGGGGAAACCATTCCATTTACCCCCTGCCTCCTGGGTGCACTCCTAGGTGCAGGCTGCTTTGCCTGGCTCTTATGGCCAGGCAGCCATAGGGCTGCCCCTGTTATGACAAAGAGAGTTTTGAGACTCTTGAGGCTGAAATTCTGATTTTGACTTGCCTGGAAATAAAAGGTGAATATGGCTCTCCTCAATACCCCTTTTCCTTGGAGGTTTCTTGGTTTTGTACATATTGGTTTGAGAAGACATGAAGTATCCAATATTACCCAACAACTGGACCAGAAGACAGGTGAGCAGATCCTTGAATACAGGCTTTAAGGGTACATTTGCATGTTGAGATACTTAAACCAGTTCAGCTACTGGAAGTAGTAGAGCAATCTTGGTTTGATGCTAACTTTTAATTTTAATTTTAACAATTGCTTATCAATCCTTAGAATACCTAAATTATGTTGACAAGCCTGTATAATAGATCTATTAAAGCCAGAGAAGGATGCCTCTGGCTCAGAGAGCTTTAGGTCAGTGTCACTTCTATGCCATCTTTAAAAGCTTTACAAATACCTTATTCTCAATTGCCTTTCACCCCATATCAAACAACATCTAATACCAGAACAAGTCAGATTTAGACCAGGCAAGTCCTGTACTTTGCCAAATACCGAACATCACTCAGCAGTTAGAAGATAGATTCAAGAAAGGGATTATAACAGGTGCTGTGTTTGTAGACCTATCAATGGCATATGGCACGGTCAACCACCAAAACCTGCTTGCCAAAGTCTACAATATGACACACAAATACCAACTAGCATAGCATATCCAATCTATTTTGGAGAATAGACATTTTTACGTAGAACTGTGCAAGAAACGGAGCCACTGGAGACAGCAATGAAATGGCTTCCTACAGGGTAGCGTGTTATCACTGATCCAT